AAGTGTTCCACTTAGTTTGGTTTGTTTTATTAATTTGGTGGCATTAAAAAGGCCTTCCATCTACTTTGTTTATCCATTATATCACACAGGCAGTGTTTTCTTCCAGCTACCTTGTTTCATACACTTCATTACCCCAAAGGAATTTAATAGGTGTTCCATCTAGTTAGCTTCGTTTACTTGATTACTGATATTAAAAATAAACCCTTGAAGCTAGTTTTGAAGATGATTCTCTCGTTGGTAAATTATTTTCTGACCGGTTATTTAAGGTAATTACATCAATATCCAAATGTTACATGAGATGATTAATAGCATTTTTCTTCTGAAGCTGATGATAAAACGAAAATGACATATGTATGCATGTATGTGTGTGTGTATATATATATATATATATATATATATATATATATATATATATATATATATATATATATATATATATACATGATTATATATATATATAATATATATATATATATATATATATATATATATATATATATATATATATATATAATATATATATATATATATATATATATATATATATTATATATATATATATGTATATATATATATATATAAAGTTGTGCCGAATAGGTAAAACTTGTGATTTTTGGCTTAAATAGCAACGCTCTTCTTGCCGAATAAGGCAAGCGAAAATTTGTGCATGCAATAGTTTCGCAAAAACCATTCTGAACCTAACGAAAAAAATACATTTCATTGTGTTTGTTCAAATTATTGTAAACTTATCTAAAATATATTTAGTTGGATTAGACTAATTTAAATTGTGCTTGTTATAATGAGATTAGACAAGTTTTCTGAAGTTCTTTGATACAAAATTATTAATTTTTACATTAACATGTATGAAAAAGATATATTTTTAAACGTGTAAGAGAAAAATTTAGAAAGGACTTAATTTTAAGCGATTTCTTGCTAATTGACAAATTTTACCTATTCGGCACGACATATATATATTTATTGTGTGTGTGTGTGTGTGTGTGTGTGTGTGTGTGTGTGTGTCTGTGTTATAAAACTGTGAGATGGTTCGTCAAAAACTAGCGAAGGATGGAATATTCTCTAAAAGAAGCAAAGAAGATTAAAAGTCACAATTCCCTGGCTGGAACAACTCACGGAGAAAAAAAAAACCTTGTGTGGAGGGAAAAACATGATGTTTGGGTCTTAAATCTCTCGGTCATGAGTTAATATTAGTCTAGGACGGACCGAATGTTTCCTAAAGTTCCTCTCCAAAATATAGTCTTTATCGCAAAATGAAAAATGTTAAAATTTATGCAATGTTTGAAAAAAAAAAAGTTTGTCACAAAATAGATAAAAGGCTTTTAATAGATTTTTTTTAACGATTAGGAGGACGTCGTCTGGTGTTCTTATTGTCTGTGTATATATATATTTTATTCGTTGGCTGTGAAAAATTATCAAACGATTAGTGAAAATATCTAACCAGTAATGAAGGGGAAACTGGTCTTCCAGGATAACCCTATGTCAGTAAATAAGGTAAAATGCGGAACGTTTGTGTTAACACAGGAAACCCGTTCAGGGTCGAGACCCCCGCTCCTGAACTCGCTCTCAGGGTCGAAAATTTTTCAAAAGAAAAAAGATTGAGAATCTTTTCCCAAATGATAATGACACCAAAAGTATGAAATTTGATGGAAAACTTACGAAAATACGCTCTCGCGAAGATAGCGTTATCGGTGATATTTACGCAGTATGTCAGTGAAGGACAATCCCCTACCGAGGTGATAACGCAGGTAAATTATAAACAAAACCTTTTTTAAGATGGAATACATCTGGTACACACATGTGCACATATGCCAGTAAGCATATTCACACATGTAAACTTAATCACACATGTATATATATATTCCAACATGTGAGTATACTCCCAAATGTTCACTTTGACACATGGTCATAATTCCACACACACACATATTTTCACGTGTGTACAAACTCCTACACGTTCAAAGTACATGTGTTACTTTAGTCAGTTTCACAGAAAATTATTAAACTTGTACAGAAAATATGAAGCATTTTTTTTAAATTTTGAGACAATAAACTTTAAACATTATAAATTCAACAATACGTGTGTATGTATAGTATGTATATATACATATGTCGTGACAAATAGGTGAAACTTGCTATTTTGGCTTAAATAGCCTTTCCCTTCTTGCCGAATAAGGCAAGCGATAATTTGTGTATGCAATAATTTGGCAAAAGTCATTCTGAACCTAACGAAAAGAAATATATTTTATTGTGTTTGTTTATTATTAAATTATTGCAAACTTATCTAAAATATATTTAGATGGATTACGCTAAATTAAACTGCGCTTGTTACAATATGGTTAAGCAAGTTTTCTAAGGTTCTTTTGGTAAAAAATTATTAAATTTTACCTTAACATAAATGAAAACTATATATCTTTAAACGCATAAGAGAAAATTTTAGAAAGGACTTAATTTTAAACTAGTTCTTTCTAATTGACCAGTTTTA